GAGGGGGGGGGGGTTGGAGGGGGGGCATGTCTGCCATCTAGATTAAAACGAGACGACGCCGACACGTGGCGCTCCCGCACTTGACCCGCCAGCGGCTTACAAGTGACTGATGAGCATCGGTGACGCCTCCCTTCTCGCTCGGGCCTCCCCTGTCAGTCATCCTCTTCCATCGGGAAGACTTTGATGAGCTAATCTTGTCACCGAGGTTCTGAAGTGAACGGCATTTTTGGGAGGGCCGCAAACACCCAGCGGCGCGTGGACTTCATTCATTCCGACGACAGCGAAACACCTCCGATGAGCTCAAGGCATCCTACTCTGGATGACAAATGAAAGGTTTTGCCGAGGTTAGGTTTTCAAATTCGGATTTCGGGCCTGGGTTAGCAATTCAAATGAGTGTTTTGAGACAAGGTAAAAATGTGAAATGAAGGTTTGAAATTGTGGTCAGGTTTAAAGCCACGGTTAGGGTTTTGTTCCTTGGTCAGGGTTTCAAATTTAGGTTACTAGTCTGGGTTAGGTTCAACATTGGTCTTTAGGTTGGGGTAAGGGTCAAGGTTAGGGTTGGTGTTGGTTATGGGGTAAGGGTTGTGGTTTGGGTTGAGGTTAAGGCTGGAGTTGGAATAGGGGTTAGGATTGAAGTTGGGGTTACGGTTGGGGTTAGTGCTGGGTTAGCATTTAAGGTTAGGGTTAGGTTAGGGTTAAGGTTAGGGTTGGGGCAAGGGTTGGAATCAACATCTATGTAGCTGCTCTAATAGAAGTTATTTCTGCGCAGGATAGAAAACATGGCTGTTAGAATTGCTATATTATCTGTCCACACATGTTGCTCCACCATTTGTGGTCATATACCGGCTGCTTGAAGCACGGCTTACTTTATTGTACAAAAACAAACAAAAAATACCTTAATGTGATATTTGTACCACCATAGAAAAAGAACGTTCTCTCATATTTTCTTTCATGAACCAGAAGTCAGCAAGAAGGCCGACCAAAATTAGTCTGCAACATTCAAGGAAAATCCAAGCGTGTGTGTTTTTGGGTCAACACACACTTGATGTGGTCGGCCAGTGGTGACTCATCCCAGAATGCTTTGCTCCTCCCAATAACAAGCTCTTGTTACGCTTGGCCACATCACATCCACATTTCTGACTGGATGTTTTCCGTCAAACAAGATTTCCAACCTACGAGCAGATGGAGGCTCACGTCGCAGCAGATCATAGCAAGATGAAATCTGTAGCAGCTTTGACTTGTCCTTCACAGTTTACAATAATGTTTTTTCAGTCTGGTAGCAATGCCATGACATTATCTCTACTTTCCTAGCCTTGCTTAGCTGAAGGATTCCAGTTAGAATGAGGGAGGGTCATAACGAGCGTCGGTCAGGAAGGGCGACAGAGTACAGTTGACTCATGGCTCAAGTCAGTTTTCCACATTGAAATGATTTGTTTTTGTTAGATGTGTTGCTGCACGGTTTGCATTTAAATATTCACATTTTGCAACGTATATTAGCATAAAGCTAGCGGAGTTTCAGGAATAGTTATGTTATCCAATACCTCTTGTACTTTTGATGTATAAAATTGGATTTAAAATAATGACAAATAATTGTGAACAAAGAGCTTTCTTTCTGACGCAAATGACTGATGTCAAATTGCCGCAGTATAGCGCCAACTCCTGCTGAGGAAAATTGACTCAATGTCAGATTTTTCTTGTCCGAAGTATCGTGGCTGGTATCGGCACCCTCCGCGAGTACACAATGCCTTAAAATAAGGTCCTATCGGCCCGATACCGATACCTGGTGTCAGTACTTGGCCATCACTAAAATTGGTCATTTTCTGGCAAATTGCTGTTGGGTCAAAATAAAACACGTGGGACAGGATACACATCAGGAGTCATGCACTTTTGCTCGATTTAATTCGATCAGGCTTTGACAATCCGGACAGAGGCCAAAGTACGTTACGTGACTCCCATCGCAAAGTTGCTGACCAAAAGCGTGCGCGTCACCTTTGTTCACATTTGACTAACCCTGACAAACACGCGACTCGTCAGCACTTTGACCAGAAAACAAAAGAGAGAGGGCAGACGGCATCAATTCATCCTGTCACCTCTTTTCACGCTTTCACAAATTAGCCCGAGTGCACCAAAAGGAGGAAGCGCGTTAAAACGTGCAGCGATGGAGAAATGCTCGGCGTTGCACGCTTCATGTTTTGTTTTGTAATTTTATGTATGATAATGTATGATCTGTAATATAGTATCTGTTTCTGATACTTCGATGACCTTTTGTAGCTACAGAAAAAATACCAAAATATTCAAAATTATTTGATGCAACCAACAACAAAAAAAGAAGTTGCAAACACTTCTACCGTTCATCGCAAAATATCCCACCAGGCATCATCGAAAGTTTGGACATTTTTCGATTGTGCTTGTCCTCAAATAAGCCTGACAAAGGTGAGCTGAAGTCGATCCCGGCTAACTTTGGCGCGCTGGTTGCCAGCCTAACAAAAGGCCATAAATAGAAAAACAATCGTTCACAATAACTGTAAAAACATCCTTCCATCCATCCATGATCTGATCCGCTTCTCCTCACGAGGGTGGCGGGCATGCCGGAGCCCACCCCAGCTGTCATCGGGCAGCGGGCGGGGCACACCCTCAACCGCTTGCCAGCCAATCGCACGGCACGCACAGACAAACAGAAATTCACACTTTGAGACAATTGAGAGTGTTCAATCAACCTACAATGGATGTTTTGGGAATGTGGGAGGAAAACAGAGTCACCGGAGGAAAATTCACGCAGGCCCCACACAGGAAGGCCGGCGCCGGAAATGAACCCTGCAACCTCTGCACTGTGACGTGCTAACGGGTCGACCGCCGTGCCGCCTACTCGAAGAACAGTTGGGTGAAAAATAACCCAATTTGGGTCATAAATGGACCAATCCACTCCTTCGGTCCATCTGACCATGCTGTTTTTTTTTTTTACAAGTCAACCGTGGGGTTGTTTCAAACAAAGCAATGCAGAAAGTTGGGTCAAATTGACCCCAGTGGTGGATCGGTCCGTTTTGGACTCAGATTGGGTTATTTTTCACCCAACTCTTCTTAGGAATGTCACCTGCATGTCTTGGGGATGTGGGAGCAAGCCGATGCGTCCACAGATGAGCAAAACACTTGCGCGCCATGCTCCCTGACCAACCGAGACGAGGCCTTCGCCAGCTCGATTATCTCTGTCGTGAAACGGGTGATGGCACTTCCTAAAAAAAAAAAAAAAAAAAAAAAAGCTGCTCAAGCTCCACAGACACACACACGCATCTACGTGGCGACATTTCACCGAACATCTTGCTGCAGAGCCACACTCGCCTCTCCACGAGCACCGAATGACGGATTCCGACAGTGAAGCCCTTCGCTGACGCCGCGGATGAGCATCATCTCCCCTCAGGCGTCTACAAGGGAACCTCCCTCAGACCGCCGATGACGCCTGAGGGCTCGTTCGGACACAAAGACCTGCTCATCGATACAAAATTATCTGGCCCACCATCCCCTTGTTCAAAGCGAACATCACTTGGCTGCTGCTGCTGCAGTGCAAAGCCCCCCCCCCCACACACACACACACACAAACACACAGCAGTGACATAAGCAAACAAGCTGACTCACATGTACCCCGCATACTGAACAGACTGCGCAGACGGGGCACACCGGCTACAAGAGGCCTGTCACCAGGTTTACACCCCATAAAATCTTGTTTTTTGGGGGTCATTTTGGGTTCAACACAAACTAAAAGCAGATGACCTCACTTCACTTCACAAAACATCAATTATTCATTCGCAGCGAGCAGGTCGGAAGTGCAGACCGGGGCAAGGAAGCAAGCATCAAAAGGAGCTACGTGTGTATGTCTGTATCATGTACTGGGGGGCTTGGGGAGGGGGAGGTGGGTACTCACATGAAATCCCAGCAGCAGGAGGAGCAGCAACGGACGAATGCAGCTGGGGCGTCAGCATCGCTGGCCCGATGGCAGCAAGCCGGCCATTGTGCGACCCCGCGGTCCGGTCCGATAGTCCCAAACGCGCACAGAGGAGCCACAGAAAGCAAAGGAAAGGGCAGGGTCTGTCTGGCAAGAGGAGGAGGAGGAGGAGGACGACGAGGATGGTGGTGGAAGGGGAGGAGGGGGGCGCTAAAGGGAAAGGAGAGGAAGGAAAGGAAGGAGGAGGCGTTGATGGGTGTGGCGTGTATGCTGTATTGGTCAGGCATCTTGTGGGCGGAGCCAAGTGAGCCAATGGCATGGGGGAGGGTGGGTGAGGATCCCAATCTCAGGGACAGACGGCAAGAGGAGTGCATGTGATGCAAAAAAAAAAAAAAGGGGGGGGCAGCGGGGGGGGGGGGGGGGTTGCGCA